TTTTTTGGGGGGGTCTGAGCTGCCTGTGCGTGGGGCAGAGCTGCTGGGGTGCTCGGGAGCAGGGGGGGACAGGGGGGACACTCGGAGGGACGAGAGGTTTGTGTGACCGGTGTGTCCCGAAGGATGGCACAGGTGGGGGACCGTGTCCCCGTGTCCCTTCCTGTCCGCGCTTGCTCCGAGGGCCCGGCGAGGTGCGAGGGCACGCAAGGGCACCGAGGGCACGTGGGGGTCCAGGGTGGGCTGGTAGAGGGGCACCGTGTCCCCACGGAGGGGGCAGAGGGGGTCTGGGAGCCGTGGGGAGGGAAATCCCCAGGGACGTTTAGGGCAGCGACCCCTCGGGATGGGTCCATGGGGACACTTGGGGAGCTGTGCCCCTCTCCAGGGCGGTCACAGCTCCTGGCCCTGGACTGGGACCAGTGGGGGAAAAAAGGGGGTCCCTGCTCGCCCCAGGGGACCTGGCCTGGAGCGAGTGGGGTCGATGCATGGCAGGATCGGTCCCGGAGCTGTTATTTAGGATGGGGGACCCCAGACAGCCCCGCCGGGGTCCCTTGGGTGCTGGCTCTGCACCCTGCAAGCGTGCAGGACATGGGTGGTGCTGGGCACAAACCCACTGTCCCCCCATATCCTTGGGGGGAGCAGGCTTTGAACTCGACCATCCCGGCCCCCCAGGACAGCTGTGTCCCCACATTGTCCCCAGCCCCAGGGAGGAGAGGGGAGCAGGCGGCTGCCCCAAAGCTCCAGGAGCTTTATTCCATCCGTGGAAGGAGTGAAATATTTGGGGAGGGGGCTGCCGCGAATGCAAAGGGCTTGGGTGCCCCTGCGCCTACCCTGGCTGTGTGGCAGAGGAGGTGCTTCAAGGACCATTTTGGGGTCACCGTTGGGCCTGGCAGGACATCCCCAGCATCGTCCTGGGGGCACCGCCACCACGGGGACAGCCCCGGCTGAGCCTCCCTGTCCTTCCCCGCAGGCTGGGCGAGGACATGGAGGATGGCAACCGGATGGAGGCCTGGCACCGAAGCCTCCAGGCGGTGCTTAATGCCTTGAACCAGACGCTGCACGGGGTCGTCCCCTGCCCCACCGACCGCCCTGCCACCGCCACCGCTGCTGCATGCAACGCCAGCACCCGCGCCGGCCGCCCTGGCCGCAACGACAACGCCTACATGGACATCCTCTTCGTCAGGACGCT